TATTTATAAAACACGTCAGCGCCACGCGCCGCGATTTGGCAGTTTGTTTAGAAGGACTAGTCCATCTATGTTCTGAAAAGAGGAGGGGGGAGATAAAAAATTAATGTATGCTGTCTGAAAGCCACCGTAAGGGTGAACAATCAATTAAGACCTGAAATGGTTTATCAAATCCTTCCAATGATTGCTAAACCAGAATCCATCTTCTCGGTTGAAATTGTCTCTGTGCTTGTATATGTGGATAGCCTCATGAACGAATCTCTCATGGTAGCCAGATGGCTTACAAAGAACCTCTGTCTTGGAAAAGTCAATGTCATGTGAGCCTACTGAATTATAACAATGATCTGCCACGGCCGAGGTGTTGGTCCTACCGTGTTTAAGGTCTGCTTTGTGTTCACGAATGTGGTCCGAGACATGGCGTTTGGTTTTTCCAATGTAACTACTACCACAGAGGTAACTTAGTTTGTAGACACCAGGGTACTGTATGTCCGGAATCACATCTTTTACAGACGGAACCAGATCACGGACTTTATGTAATGTGTTGAAACGGACCTGGATCTTGTGTTTATTCAAGATTTTGGAGATCTTTTTTGTGATGCCCGCAATGTAGGGTAAAGTGATGGTTTTGAAAGGCTCCTCAAGAGGGTCCTTCTTCGTGGTTTGAGTGATAGCTTTGCGGATTGTATAGTCGGAGTAACCATTAGCCTTAAGAGCTTGGTGTACGTGCTTGAGTTCACTGCCTATGTGTTCCTGGTCAGATATGCATTGGGCTCTATGGTACAGAGTCTTGATGTGAGAATTCTTCTGTGATGGATGGTGGTGGGAATCCGGTTTCAGATAAGCATCCGTATGGGTAGCTTTCCTGATACAGAGTGGCTCATTGAACTATCAGGTCTATTTTTTTATTAGGACATCCAAAAAAGGTAGCTTGCCATCTTTTTCGACTTCCATGGTAAATCTGATGGCTGGGTGTATGGGATTGATGTGGTCGAAAAATTGGTCTAGAGCAGGCCGGCCATGTAGCCAGATGACAAAAGTGTCATTCACGTACCTCTTCCATAAGGTTGGGCGCAGAGTGGCAGTCTGGATGGCGTCAGTCTCAAATTTCTCCATGAAAATGTTAGCTATAACCGGAGATAGGGGGGAGCCCATTGGGGTGCCCTCAGTTTGTTTGTAGAAAGTTCCATTCCAAGTGAAGTATGTATTGGTTAAACAGTGTCTCACCAGGGGGGGGGTACCTCAGTGTTTAGTCCTTGATGAACCAAGTCTTCAATGATTGCGATGGTGTCAGGTACAGGAACCTTGGTGAATAAGGAAACTACATCAAAACTGACAAGCAGGTCGTCTGGGGACAGGGAAATACCCTTGATTGTCGATACCAGGTAAGTAAAATTTTGTACCGCAGAGGTGGTTTTTCCAGTGAAAGGACGCAGGATTTCAGACAAAAAACGAGCCAGTTTGTAGGTGGGTGAGTTGATAGTAGAGACGATGGGACGAAGGGGTGTATCTACTTTATGTATTTTTGGTAAGCCATATAATCTTGGTGGCCTGGCAGCAGAAGGTTTCAACGAAAACTGTTTAGATTGATCAATGAATGCGGTTGAATCAGAAATTATTTTGTTAGTTTGTGTGACGAGCCTATTGGTGGGATCTCTTTTTATTTTGGTATAACTACCATTGTCCAGTAATTCTTTAATTTTGTTGTTGTATTCTATTTTATCCATGATGACAGTAGCATTGCCCTTGTCAGCTGATACCCATACGGATGCTTATCTGAAACCGGATTCCCACCACCATCCATCACAGAAGAATTCTCTCATCAAGACTCTGTACCATAGAGCCCAATGCATATTCGACCAGGAACACATAGGCAGTGAACTCAAGCACGTACACCAAGCTCTTAAGGCTAATGGTTACTCCGACTATACAATCCGCAAAGCTATCACTCAAACCATGAAGAAGGACCCTCTTGAGGAGCCTTTCAAAACCATCACTTTACCCTACATTGCGGGGATCACAAAACAACTCTCCAAAATCTTGAATAAACACAAGATCCAGGTCCGTTTCAACACATTACATAAAGTCCGTGATCTGGTTCCGTCTGTAAAAGATGTGATTCCGGACATACAGTACCCTGGTGTCTACAAACTAAGTTGCCTCTGTGGTAGTAGTTACATTGGAGAAACCAAACGCCATATCACGGAACACATTCGAGAACACAAAGCAGACCTTAAACACGGTAGGACCAACACCTCGGCCGTGGCAGATCATTGTTATAATTCAGTAGGCTCACATGACATTGACTTTTCCAAGACAGAGGTTCTTTGTAAGCCATCTGGCTACCATGAGAGATTCGTTCATGAGGCTATCCACATACACAAGCACAGAGACAATTTCAACCGAGATGATGGATTCTTGCTTAGCAATCATTGGAAAGATTTGATAAACCATTTCAGGTCTTAATTGATTGTTCACACTTACAGTGGCTTTCAGACAGCATACATTAATTTTTCGTCTCCCCCCTCCTCTTTTCAGAACATAGATGGACTAGTCCTTCTAACTAAACTGCCAAATCGCTGCACGTGGCGCTGACGTTTTTTTAAATAAATGCACCGCTTAAAAATAAATTAATTAATGCAAACCGACACACCTGATGACGACCGTTTGTGTTATGGTCGAAACGTCGTGAGAATTTTATTGTTTTATATATTTTATCATTTTATTGTTTCCCTTCAACGTGACTTTACCGAAAGAGCTAAGACTATAAGTAGAACGTGTTGTCTATATTTATTTAAAGTTGCACATTTTGATGTGACGTCACATTTCTCAAACCCCCACCCCCGCTCGTCACACATCGTCACAAATGTCTGACACCCCCCCCATAGGTGCGTGACGTCATTTACGGACGGCCCCTTACCTGTGCACCCACATTTGATGAAATCGAGACCAAGGGTCAGGCGACGGCACCCTCGCCGCACTCCACGCCACGAGCCCAGAAACACAAAACACAAACCACGCGCGAGACGCAATAAACCCACGGCCACACTCGCGCGATCTGCAGCCACCAAAAAAAAATTCCGCGCGGGGGGCGGGGGGAAAAAATGGGGGGGGGGGGGGCTCCTGATTGACGCGCCAGACGCCTCTTGACACAATAAACACTGCCGCGGTGTTTCGGGGGGGGGGGGGGGGGGGGGGTGAACCAACACGTGGGTGCTCCACGAGAAACACTGCGAGGGATTATTCCGTGTTGGAGGTCACGAAAGTTGAATGCCGACCGCTGATGACCTATGGCACAAGCGGCAACCAACAAGAGCGCAGTTCACGGTTACACAACACGTGGACACCACCCACCGATCTGCCGAGGACCTAAGTGAATGTACAACACCCCCGGTCGAGAATGTGAGTATTAATGGGTAAGTTGGCAAATAAAAAAATATGTATTTAACGTAATCCTATTCTCGAACTTCTTGGCCACCACTCGACAACTGTTTCATCTCATCCGGCATAAACAAACAAAATATTCTGATCCCGAGTTGAAGGCGGAGGGGGGTCACCAGCCCCTCGCGCACGTCCAGAGGCCCCCGTGGCGGCTACGAGCGCCAGAAAGAGCCGTGGCGAGATGTTAACTACCTCGCCTGGTATACAGGAGGCCGTGGGATTGATGCCATCTCTGACGCTTAAACATGCGTTTAGATATGAGAATAGGGTTTATTCCACTTTTTTCTGGCAACAAAAAAACACCTTTTACGAAGAATCGTGTCTGCATTAACCGCAATACTTGTGGTCAGAATGCAAACATGATTCATTGTAAAAGGGTTTTTTTTTGTTGCCAGAAAAAGGGGGAATAAACCTATTCTCATATTTTGGTACTGGCAAAGGAGGTCTCATGATGTAGATGCTCACCCCGAGCCCTCATTACTCTGATAGTGGCATTGTCTTTGTGCTGTGTGACGCCTTTTGGCGTCCTCTGGTCTAACACCGTTTTGAGACGAGGCTCAAAAGAAAGCCGTCTCTGGTGTGGACCAATCAGTTTCAAAGACAATACATATATTATCAGTGTTTTTTGTTTGCATTCTGACCACAAGTAACGTGGTTAATGCAGACATGATTCCTTGTAAAAGGTGTTTTTTTGTTGCCAGAATAAAGGGGAAAAAACTTATTCTCACATTTTGGTAATGGAAAAGGAGGACTCATGGTTCGTTTAGATGATTTAGCTCGTGTTGCTCGGCGCCAAGCGTTTTAGGTATTTTTGCCTGTGCTCAGAATGTGTGCTATGAAGTACTCTTGCCTGAACGTCACCTATTACATGTTTCCCTTTAAAGCCACCGCAGTGTTATTGACGAATGAGTTGAATGTTTTGTATAGTTGCATGAGCGATCGGAAAGTGTGTAGCCTGGTACGAATGGACGAGCCCCCGTACTTTCGACACTGAATATACAAGGTGGGAGTGATGGCACAGTGGGTCTTGCGCTGCTGTGCTATAAACTTATTGATGAAATAATTTCCAACCTGCATTGGTCAGTATGGTGAAGTATGGCAAAGCCCCATGACCTACATATGTGGATTGGCAGAGGGCTGTATATGACTCTATGTAAGCCGATGGTGTAACGGTTGGCACACTGAATTTACAATCCAGTTCGATCTCTAGGTGCGGCAGGTGAAATCCTGATCAAGATTTTTAAATCCCCCCCCCCCACCACCACTTCCGTTCACCCAGCAGTATAAATCGGTGCACCACAGTTCACAAGTGGTGGTACAAAGTGGGGGTTCTCCCACCTCTGGCATCTGTCCAGCATGGCAGAGTAGGCCAAATACCCTCTCGTGAGAGGTCCATCCACTGGCAGTGGCGTGAGCGAGTGATTGCAGGTCTGTTGACTTCACCTTTATTACAAAAGCTAATAAAGTGAGCTTGCGGTGTACTCCCAACACCATTGGGTGAACACAACAGTGGCAGCAGAGCGCGCCCGTGCATGACAATATTCCACCAGAAGAGCACCAACGGAGAGGCTTTAAATATTTTAATTTATTCAAGGTGTGCACCGAACGGCACCACAGAGAATTACAGCCGGGCGGCGAGCGCGCAAGGGGGGCTTTCCGGTCAGCCTGTGCGGATAAAGCGCGTACAGAACACGCAAACGGGAAACAATAAAGCAAGAGAATAAAGCCAGGAATTTTCAGAGACATGCAGAGAGAGAGAGTTGAGAGAGACGAGAACCAACCACGGTGGACATGGGCAAAACCCGAGTGGACGGAAGTTAATTCGCCAACTGGAAACGCTCAAGAACCCCTATGCCTGGGGGATATGAATCAAAAAGTCAGATTTACATTTTACAAGTGGTACCCATCAACAAGAGCGTACATTTTTTTCACGGACGTTTCTTTCCGCTCGACGTATGGAGTTGAGCCCATTAAAGAGTGGACATTTTTCAGCGCTTAGATTTACTTTCACGCTGGAAAATACAGCACAATATCAGATGTACAATCATCTCCACCACGATTGTTAAATTGCTAGATCTTCATGAAGGGTCTCTTTCTTCAAGATCAATCCGAGTTTGATCAAAGCCACCGCTGCTTTCGGTGCACATCCTCTCAACGCTGTCGTCACGCGTGTTGGTCGTGACACCACGCCAGGCGACTACGCACTGCTGGTTCGGTGTTTAAAGCCAAACCGCGTGGACGGCTTTAACCGGGGAAAGACAGAAATCACAATTTTATTTCGGTACAGCACTGATAACATCCTGGTAATGAAACGATGTGCCAGCATTTAATATTTTTTCCATAACCCCAACCGAACATAGATTACAAAACAAAAACGCATTGGGGCTGTTTTAACGACTTGCAGGCATTAAGAGGCAAGATATCGAGTAATGAATTTTAAATTTGTGCTACCGTTAACATCCAAATATTTAACAGTAGCGTCATGGTGCTCGTGTTAGCAACTTAGCGCATGGTGCTCTGATAATAATAATCCATACATCCCTCGTGGGGCTCCATTGGGACTCCTTTCTGCATTCAACCTGGTGACCTGCAACACTCCGCCGCCGAGACTGCCCATTGCCGTGCCGACGCTGCGCACGGTGTGCAAATGTTTTAAATCGTTGGGGCAGCCGCCGCGCAGGCGGTGGCACTGGCTGCTCAGAAGTTGATGGCCTTGCCGAAGGTGGCGGCCAGGTTCGCCTCCCGGAACGCCTCCGACACGGTCTGTGGAAAAGCGAGGAAGGGCGCGATCACAAGGGCAGTCAGTGCGACAAACAAACAATCGCTCCTGCGTAGGTGTTTGCATTTTTTTTTTTCCCGCATAGGCTCTATGCAATGTGTTTTCCAGGAATGATGTCCTATTGGACATCTGTGAAAAAGAGCTTCATAGCATGTCGAATTCCTCTCGTCTAAATAAGGATTTGGTTTCTGTTGGGGATGTATCACGTTTCTCTGCACGTGCTGGAAGCTTCTTCGGGAGGAATCCCTAATAAGTGCGTGGAGGAGAACGTAACACATCATGCCAAACAACACACGGTACAACCCAACAACACATCGGAGATAAATGTATATATTTTTATTAATCTCAATGTCTCCCTTAAATGAGAGGCGTGGTGATAATTTCTGTCTGCTGCAATTCCTTAATCTGCGATGGAATGTCCACGTTTCTGGGCCAATTGGCACAGTGGTGAGAACGTATAGGGCTCAATATCAGAAGTTAAAATCCTGGCTCGAGAGTCAACTATCCCTTTCAGCTTTCCGAGGTCAATCAAAGGTACGCGACTTTCTGGTAAGCCAATGACTGGAAAATACAATTTTCTTACCACGAACTCAGGATGTTTAATGCAAAATGACTGCCATCCAATATATGTGTGAGAAGCCAATGACTTTTGACCTGAATGTTGGGACACATTTTGATTCGTAACAAAAATACACTGTTGGCTGCCAAACAAGTGGGGCACAACCTCACTATAGGTGGCACACATTTTAAGGCATTTAGAGTATTTGGCTGGGGCTATAAATGTCCATGTCGTAATAAGCGACTTCATTGAGCTATCATTTGTGATAGCCAGGTCGCTTCTGACAAAGATATGTAGCTCAGTGGGCCTTACTTGGTAAGATAAAAACAAAAAGTTTTATTTAAGTTTTTAATAACTCCAGAGGGATGCAGGATTCAATCAGCAATGCTAATTTCCCCAATGTTGTTTGCAACATGACTTTTCTCAAATTTAATTTCAACATTAGGGTTATCATCGCAGCAACGCTCTTGCGAACGATAACAATGTCAGGAAGGCAAACTGAGAAGAACACTTTTGTAATTACAAAAAACCAAGTCAAAATAATGGGGGATAAGAAGAAATATTTTCATCTGCAATCTGGGGTTACTGCAGACTTGTTCCGTCTCATTTTCACATCAAAGACTAAAATCTTGTAAATAAACAATAAACTGTCCTTCAGCGGACTTCCACTCGCCAAGGTCATTCCCCTCAAAAAGCGAGCTAAGAAAGGCCCTCCTCTTCCCCTTGAGGATTGTTTTTGACTACAGGCCAATTCTTTTATGTATCAGAAAACACATTTCAAGCAGAGAGAACTACACGGTTCCTGCAAAAAAAGCTTTATAATGGGGTGGAGTGTTGGCGGAGTGGTTGGCGCATTGTTCTAGAAACCTGACAAGGTGAGATCACTTCAAGGCCACGGGCGAACGTGAAGAGCGCTATCTAACCCGGTTATTGGGCCCCCATGGTAAGGCCTTCATCCAGCAGTGGATTGACAAAAGGCTGTATATTATTCTTATTATAATCTAAAAATCTCGGAGGAATTTTAGAGGAGGCTCAAAAACAAACTAGAAGTGTCCTCCAGTGTGGAGAAATGCTATGAAGTGACATGCAAGTGTAATAAATGGAAGACGTCTTTCTCTGCAAAGTCCTTTGCATTCATTTAATGAAAAAAAGTTCAAAGTTAGGTCAATGGAAATGTTGTCTATTTTAGCAGTATTTGTTTATGAACCAAGACAAAACAGCTAGCGTTGGTGCTGGCCATCAAAAAGATAAATGTCAGCAAATATCTTATTCATATAAAGTCCTTTTGTGCAGTGTATAGTGACCAGGCTAAACCCATAAACTAGCTTGACATGCAAATCTGCTATATATCTCTTGGGCGGCTGACCGGATTTTGAACTCAAAATCTTGGCAGTGAAGACAAAACCCTGGCCCTGGCATTATCACCATCCTCTGCATTCTGCATTTGGATGTTTGGACAATTCCCTTTTTAAAGGGTGTTTTGTGCGTGGGAGGAAACCAGACAACACAGAGAAACTCAACACATGCAAGTGGATAATGCTGAAAGGTCTGAATAGATGGGCTCATGAGCCCAATTTCTGTGCCAGCAATACCTGTCCACATCACAGCCCAACTGTGAAAGGTTTGTTATCCACAAGCCTTTCCTTCCAAAACAGTGGATTACAGACGTAATCTCGCGAGGATTTGGGAATTCAACGTATTTGGGAGTCCCACAATTTTTGTGATCCGCCAACCCCTTTCCTGCGAGCACTGGATCACCACAGGTTGTGCGCATTCACACCTGCCAACCAGGTAAACACCGCGTTTCCGTATCGCAACGGGCGTTGCGTTCCTCTGCCGGTGATCGCCAGTATCGCCAACCGGTGGCAAGTGGTGCGGCAGCGGCATCGCAGACGCTTCCGCTGGGCACTGATTTATGCAGCCGGATACCTCCACGCAGAGCACTGGGGAGAGCGGCGATTGTGGTGGTGGTGGTGGTGGAGGGGGCGAGGGGCACTCACCGGGTGAGCATGGCAGACGCGCGCCACGTCCTCGCACGACGCGCCGTACTCCATCGCCAGCGCCGCCTCGTTGATCATCTCGCCGGCACCCTGCACGCACGCACAATGGCACGAATCAGGTACTAAACGATGTATGTATGTTGAACTTCACGTCTGTTGCTACCTACGTGCAGTGCTATGTTCAACTGTGCTTCTAAATTCCATTGCCGCTTCGGTGACTCGTTTTATGCTTGTACGAGGTGCGATATAAAGTTTAAAATGGTGATGATGCTGATGATCCTGATCCATTACGTACCCGTTCAAAATAAAATTAGAAAATATCTTTGTGGTTGTCATTTGCAAAAAAAGTTGTTTTAAGTAGATTTATTTGTACTCTACAAAACACAACCCTTAGAGGTAATCAGTCAGAGCAGCCAGAACATTTATTTTAAATTCAAAGCCAAATGTGTGAAGTTGCAGTTGCTCTTGACCTGCTGTTAAAAATTTCAACCTTGAATGTGTTTTTATTACTTGAATGTTATTCAACAGATTTGTGAAAACATTTTTTTTTTCCTGATGACAACCGCTTGTGTTGCGATCGAAACGTCGTGGTTTCTGTTTTTATTTATATATTTTTTATTACTGAAAGAACCAGAATAAGTCTACATTATAGACTGTCAGTACACTCACCGAGGTTAAGAACCAGGCTAGAGTCTACATTATAGACTGCCAGTACACTCGCTTCGATTAAGAACCAGGCTACAGTCTACATTAGTGTTTTTTTATTCACTTTATTATTATTTTTCTTCTATCTATGTGACTTTACCAAAAGTGTCAACAATTACAACATAGAAAAGCACGAAGGGTCTCGAGCAGTTAAATTTTGCATTAAATTAACACTGTTCATATATTTCGATCTAAAGCTTTCGTGACTGCAGGGATTCATATTCTTGATTCTTTCGGTAAAGTCACGTATTATTGTATTATTTCCCTTCTATGTGACTTTACCGAAAGAACCAAGAATATAAAGTTCATATGCTTAAAAAATATCCCCCACGACCAACACAGTATGGGAAGGCCTTCATCCAGCAGTGGATTGAATGTTGAAAGCGATTAAAACGAATGATGCACAGACCCATACAAATTGGACTCCTAGAATCACAGAATTAGCCCTCTCCACTTAACAGGGCAGTACGGGGCTATTGTCTTCCACACAAACTCTACAGAAACATTTGTTTTGACGCAAAAGGGTTTTGTTTCAAGATGCACACAATGTTAAGTCTAGACCAAAGCACGGGAGTGGTGGCGCATGCCTTTAATCCACGCTGTGATTGACTGCGACTGACTGTGTGTGTGACTGCACGGGTGACAGTGTGGGTGACGGTGACAGTGACAGATTGTGAGTTGACAGCGCGGACGGCCGAGTGACAGCGAGCGATCGTGTGGGTGACCGTGCGAGTGACTGGGCGGGTTATTTGTGCCAGTGGAGGTACTAGAACGACTTGTGTGGGTCACTGCACGGGTGACTGCATGCGGTCTGAGTGACTAAGCGAGTGACTGTGTGGTGCCTACAGATCCCAGGATGTGCGCTCCCAGCATGCGGTCCGTCTCCTTGTGCGCCAGGATCTTGACCAGGCCGTCCGTGTCGGCGTTGGTCTTGGCTCGGCTGTTTGCGGCGAAAGGGAATTTGCCAATCTTGTACGGCACTCCCTGCCCACGGACAGACAGGTAGAAACACACAGGAGCAATGACATCGGACGTTGAACACATACCCATCGTGCATACTATGCCAAACGGGTGACAAACCTTGACCCGCAAGTCCAACTCACTCAGCCCATTGTACAGGAGATTTTTTTTAAAATCAAAATTGTAGACCCGCACACACTGCTCAACTTGCATGGCAATCGACGTCCAGGTAGTATGAACATTAAAGAGTGTTGGTCTTTGTGAATACAGTTGCAAAGTGGATATACACTTTGCCGTAACATACAAACTCAATTTAATTTAAAGTCTACGTGTATAACCTAAAAAAACATGTCGGTAAAGGCGTGCAAGTGTGTTTGTCACTTTGTGGTGCCCGTGGCTGTTGTTTCACAAAAGGTTCACAGCAGAGGATGGTGGGCGAGTTAGTTCAAGGCAGCCTGAATGAGAATAGGGACAGTCTGTGCAGGAAGAGATGTATTATTCTTCTTCTTTCATCGAAGCAGAGCAACAACTACAGTTTCACATTGAGGTGGTCAAGCCAGGCAACCGTACATCATACAGCTCCAGAATGTCTTCAAAAAAAGCGCGACCACAGAACGTTTGTACAGAATGCGACCGTTCAAGGATGCTACCACTGACCGATGAAAATAATGTTTTTACGCTGACAACATATGCAATGAATTGTGTACCAAAAAATAAGTTGCGATTTATAAAAAGAAACGTCATGCAAACAATAAGCTGTTACATTTATGCCAGTGGAGCGAACAAAACTGTACGGACAAAACATAACAAATCGTGAGAATTCAGCATTGGGGTTGGGAAGGGAGGTCAATTGTTACATAACTATAGCATAAACACAGTTATCCTTCACAAAGGAATGATAACGCATTAGAGAGAGAAGAAAGAAGACTGCAATACATTTTACAAATTTACGGAATTAGCTTGTGCCAACACGGTCCCATAACGATGCTACGGAGAGGGCATGCAGATAGCAGCGGAACAGAACAAAACTATTTTTTTTACTTTACCACGTAAGGCCCACTGAGCTATATAGCTCTTGTCAAAAGCGACCTGGCCACAAGTGATAGCTCGACGAAATGTACAACAACCACACTCGAAACGCGTGATGTTGATTCACAATGTGGGGGGAGCAACCGGAGGACCCGGAGAAAAATCCACGCAACTATGGGCGGGAGAGAGAGAGAACATGCAAACTCCAAATATACACCAGGCGTCAGGGTCAGGATCAAGCCCACGACCTCCATGTATACCGGGCAAGGTAGTTAACATCTCCCAGCCACCGCTCCCTACCTCCTCCTTGAGCTGCTCCTCATTCTTGCCGATCCACGCCACCTCGGGGTGTGTGTAGATGACGGAGGGCACGCAGTTGTAGTCGATGTGCACTGCGCCACCAGCCATGCCCTCCACGCAGATGATGCCCTCGTCCTCCGCCTTGTGCGCCAACATTGGCCCGGCCACCGCGTCGCCGATCGCGTAGATGCTGCGGTAGCGAGTCCACAAAAAGGACACGAGGTTTGTAAAATTAGTCGGCTCTCAGTTAATCCGGGGCTATAGTATGTATGTTGAACTTCTTTCCCAATGTACATCGCCAGCCATGCTAATCCGAAGGGGGTGGGCACGGATGAAAAAACGATATCGTGCAAAATGCAAAACAAATGTACATTAGGCTATAAAACGTATCTAACGTTTCTGCGATGTGCTTATCGAGTTGCACCACGTTTTGTGTGAACAACACGTGGCAACACACAAGACGCGAGGGGGGAGCTTCAGTTTCATCAGGGCCAAAAACTTCGGACATCGTGCCAAACAACGCTCAGCGCAACCCGAAAACACACACCGGACAACTATACGGCACAAACGCAATACCACTTGGGTCGTATTTATTGTTCACCAATGCCAAATGGGGTGAAGATGTACAATGTCTCTTATCTGATTTTAAGTAATCGGTTTACTAGCTGACATGTTTGTGGTCACGTGGGCATCGAGGAGCAGACAAGATTCAAACCGACGTGCATGTTAAGATGTTTAATTTTTTATTATCCATAATGGTTCATCTTTGTCATTTTTATTGACCCCTGTGCCTTCTGGCCCATTGGGGAATGACCGTTTCCCTCGCCCGTAACGCCTCGCGGTGCTTTTTCCACTTCTCACCGCCCACCGCTGCGTCCTTCGACTGAGACGGTTAATCTGCAACGTGGAACATCCGCCCACGCATAGCCGAGGTTTAACCGTACTTGGTGTTGAAGAAAAATGACAAAGAGAGAGAGAGAGAAGGATGGCGGCTGCTCACTTGGGGATGCTCGTCTGGAAGCGGTTGTTGATGGGCACACGGCCTCGGTTGTCCAGAGCGATGCCAAGCTCCTCGAGGCCCAGGCCAGCCGTGAACGGCCGGCGCCCAACGCACACCAGCAGGACGTCACACGTCAGCGTGTCGGCCGCACCGCCCTTCGCCGGCTCTGTCCTGCGTGCCACCACGAGACGGTGGCGGTGAGGGAGAGGAAGAGGTACGTACGTACGTTCGACTTCTTTCACACTGTACGTAGACAACCGCGCAAAATGGGGTGTGCGCGGGAAAGACAACAAACTAAAACACAAAAAGCAGACGCAGGTCATGTGCAGCTGACGCAAGCACCTGAGCACACAATGAAGCATTCCTGATTTTAAGAAAAAAACAGTCTTCATAGGGGATGCCCCGAAGAAAAGAATGCCGTAGTTGAACAGTAATACTTTCAATTACATTTAAAAGTGGGTGGAGCAGTGGCAGCAGTGGTTCGTGTACTACACTATGATGGGAACAGAATTTGATTCTCGACCACGGCTAATATCAGTGGTGAGTGATGTCTGAACCAGTCCTGGACCACCTTTAACCAAGCCACTCTGACGAGTGTGGTGATGTATGGCCAAACAAAACCCCCATGAGCAATACAGCATGGGAGGGCCTTCATCTAGCAGTGTATTTACAAAGGGCTGTACACATTACTATGGTTTATTTTTACATGTGCCTCGACTATTGCCTCAGTAATTCCTTCGAGCATCATCTGTCTCTTTGGTTGCCATCCAATTTAATGGGAGCAACAGGTGACTTGGGTCGCAATGTCCACAAACAAAATGTGCAAGTTAAAGATAACAGCTGGTGTCAAAATCCAAGGGAAGTGTAATCATGCAAGACAAGGACGTGTAGAGACATTTTCTCAATCTACTGCTGGATAGAAGACCACCCCGTGCCATCTCAGTCACGTCGGTTGTTTTTACCATACTTCACCATGCCGGTCAATGTGGGTTCATGAAGGGGGAAGACCGGTTCAGACATCACGCGCTCGTTTCCGGCACGACCGCTCCCCAAATGCAGAAGCACGCGCGGCCCTGCGCTGGAGGGACTCACTGAACGTCGATCTTGCCGTCAGCGCGCCGTGACGCCGCCATCACCTTGGTCGACAGCTTGAACTTCATGCCCTGCTTCTGCAGGATGCGCTGGAAGTTCTTGGAGATCTCCATGTCAATGCCGGCGCCACCCACATGACCCAAGAACTCCACGGCTGTCACCTCCGCGCCCAGGCGCTGCCACACTGAACCCTGAATAAGGAAAGTGAGAAAATCACCAGTGGACGGTGTTCTTAAAATATGGGTTTTTCCTATATATATATTTTTTCTTATTTACAAAAAATCCTTTCAGATTTCCCAGAGCGGTACAAGTTCTTCATTAGATAATAACCCATGGAATGGGATATCAAATAACCACTTCTGAAATACCTTAAAGACTTGTATCCATACACCCCAGAAAATGGACAGTCAAATTCTTATTTTTATCAACTCTGTAGAGAATGGGCTAAGACTGTCAACTCGCTACACTCGGGAGTCCAGTTTACTCCCAGGTGGCTGAAACCCAAATATGAACCCAGCATTCTGGCCTCCCCAGTTCAGTGTCCTGACTACTGAGTCACCCGCACCTCCGATTAGCACGGTTGGATAGGTACAGTGCGAAAGATGTTCAACGTACATACAAACACCCGGTCACCTCCGAAAAAAACCCATCATGTTATCTCAAACGTGTCATCGAACAAAAAAAGCACAACATCAAATTTTGAGGCGCTTTCTTGTGGTGACAATCCATGCAGCGCAAGTGCCTTTAAAGAAAAATCAGCGTCCGTGCCAGAAGTGAGGTAGCGCGTGGTGAAAGAGCGGCGGTGAAGGAAGAGAGAGAAGAGAAGACGAAATTACCAGTTCCACGCCGATGACGCCAGCTCCGATCACCACCAACTTCTCCGGTACCTGCTTGAGCGAGAGGGCGCCCGTGGACGACACCACCGTCTCCTCGTCGACCTGGGAGGAACACAGCTCAGCGACTCAGAGGATCTCGCGCGCATCGCACCAACCCAGCACACGCAATGTCTCTTTCACTTTACACCAGCGTTAGTGTTGAGGCGGTGGCTAATGGAAGTAAAATCCAGTGCTTTGGAGGCAAGGGTTGGTGGATCACACAGGTTGCGAATCTCCAAAAACACCCACTCAACTGCCAAGTGGCTAGGTTGAAAACTCGTTTCTTTACAACTGCTTTTTGTGTTTGGTTTGTTGTCCTTCCCCGACACCTCCGATTCACACTTCTGGGGTACGTACGATGGGAAATAAGTTCAACATAATACAGTAATTGATGCTTGAATCTGTATACACAGAGCTCCTGAAAAACAATGTTTAGACTGATTGAGGCTTTCTAGGGTAAAGGGCATCACCGTAACCACAGCAAACTGCCATTCAAACACTGATTCTCAGCAGTGTTTTGGTGCCAGAGTCCTGATCCAAAACACTGCTTTCAATTGAAATTGTTTGACTGTGTGTATGCATGTGAATGGAAGTGTGCATGCATGTGTGTGTGTGTTTAACAGCAGAGGTCTCACTCCGAATCAGTCGAGCGGCAATATCTTTTCATCGGTTGCGTAACGCTGTGTGGAAGCTACCTGATCTGTCGCCCCGCACTAAGCTTCAGGTCTTCTCGGCCACGGTCATTCCCTCCCTTCTCTACGCTTGCGAAACGTGGACCCCCCTAATGGAGCATCTTCGCCGGTTACAAACATTTAGGCTGGCCTGCCTACGAACCATCCTGGGTTTAACCAGGCTGGATTGTGTGACGAGCTCACAAATCCTTGAAAGATCTGGGCAAGGTCCCATCGGTGAGCTCCTCCGGCAGGCAAGGCTGCGTTGGCTGGGTCATGTAGCCCGCATGCCCAGCCACCGCATGCCGAAACAGCTTTTGTTCGGCCAGATCGAGGGGGGCTAAATGGGCGTGGCACGGGCTAGAGAAGAGATGGAGTGATGTGGTATGGGAGGACGTGGAGCTGAGTGGACTTGCCAATGACTGGTACCAGCGGTGTCAAGATCGGCCTCTGTGGAGGAGGCTCGTGAAGGATGCTACTGGGCAGTGGGAGGCAGTCGCCCTCCAACAACAACGGAGGGCGGAGGAGTGACGCTCACAACAACGAGCGGAGCGCCGGGTGGCGAAAGCACAGCAGGTTGGCACAGTAGGGGGCACAGGCGGTGCATCAGCCAGTCACCTCAGTCATCTTAGTCAGTCAACCCGTGGCACTTGGGTCTGCCCCGTGACCTCCTGCCAGCGGGCGTTCGACACTTCACGTGGCCTCAAGGTGCACATGGCCTGGTACAAGCGTCGTGGTGACGTCACCGCCACTTAGTGGCGAATGGCGGTTGTTGTTTTCAACTCCGCCAAAGAATAGTCTGGAAGAAGTGGCTATACAATTCCTCCAGTGACCAATGGTACAAACAGTGTACAATTGAGTGACGTCACAGCACAACGAAAATAAATAAAGCGTTTGGAATTGACACGGCAAACGAGGGCAGAGTGGACTGGAGTGAACGGACGTGGTGTGGCGAGTGTAAACGCTACTCATGGCTCCTGCCTTCGGTGGCTATTGCTCCTTTGCTTTTTAAATCAAACTCAAGACACCAACTGGTTTACGAACAGAAACAAGCGCTGACTGGTACACGTACAAATCGTATTTGTCAGCCACAGCTGGATCATTTCCCACGTCATGTATGCCACGGGGGTTATTTGACCATACTTCAGCGCATTGGTAAAGTCCAGGTTATTGGAAGCTAAGCAAGCCTAAGTCTGGAGAGCGCTTGTATGGGCGATCACCAAGCACAAACGGGTTGTCACAGGCATTGTGGGCTGCTTGGCGGGCAGCAGAGGGCAAAATACACAATTGTACTGTAGTCCTCGATGCTCCCCGCCTTCACCAAACCATGAGGAGCACGTACCTCGATGCCTTGGAAGGGCGTGACCTCGGAGCCCGTGGCGATGAGGATGTTCTTGGTGTTGATGACCTGCTGGCTGCCGTCAGCGCAAGCGGCCGTCACCTGGTTCTTCCCCGTTATCATGCCGTGCCCTTTAACGTGCGTCACCTTTGCGTCCCCGTAGGGAGAGAGAGATGGGGGTGAACCGCAGTGCGCGGTAGAGGGTCAGCAACAGGCAGCCACATGCTCATAGTGAGCCACTTGGGACACACATGGTCTTTCAAGAGAGGCAGATAGGCATGTAAAGATGGATAAATTCATCCGTTACATTTTTTTTTTCAGCCAATGTTACACGCATCGAGTTAGGTGCAAGAGTCAATTTGCGAAAATGTGTCCAAATTATGCGCAGAGGTTACCGTTTGGCTAACTGGACAAATTAAACGGACAATATACCAGATTAAAATGTTTGCATTTGGTAAACATACTTTGGGAGAAATGTAATTATTATTTCGCGACATTTTTATGTTTAGCCATATTGAACAGTCACCATCTCCCTAATAAAGGACATTGCAGCAACTTCTCGAAAAAAAACGACTGACATTTTGAGTTCGGCTGAACTATGCAACATCTGCCAATAATTAGATTTCAGTCGCCATAGTGCAATATCTGCTACAGAGACAAGACAAATGAGCCGACCACTGAATCAAGATCATGAATGACGGCAATTCATCGAATCGTACAGGAAAGGTGAATCATGTTCTGCCTACGAAAGTTGTAGTGCACAATAGCAAGCACACCTCGATTAAACGCTTTGAATCTCAAACTTGTGATTCTTATATTACGTGGAGCAAGCGGGCGGAATCTGCATGAGCCATTTTGGCTGCTACTTTTTTTTTCGTCCACCAATTTTACAGATCATTGATGTTGACCCCTTTATAGCTATTGCCTCATACTGATTTAGTGTCCATACAATTTCATTCCATCACAGGGACATTCGGTACTGCTCAGGATTCAGGGCCAACTGTAACCACGATGCAATGACATAGATTTGCAAGAAATTCGATGGGCTTACAACCATAAAAATGACAAGGGCTGCTCACATGCCACGTGTCATCAGGGGATGGAGGCTGCATTCTAACCATGGCGTAAACCTTAGTCCACAGACATGCGCTGACTACTGAGCTACCACTAGTCGTTAAGATACAGAAACCATTAATAAAAATGTACGGTCAAAATCAGTGCCATTAACAGGCACACACATTAATTACCGACAATTACTTAAGATGAAACGCGACAACTCTTTCTGGCTGGACGGTCAAAGAAAGTGTGGTGGCATCCTCATATTTACCAGAATCAATATTCCATGCTCCATAATACACTTGCTGTCTGTATAAGATACCTTGGAAGCCCTCTTCCTAAAACTCAACATTCCCAGTGACAAATCACTCGTGCTTATGTGCTGTTACGATCCTCCAAAGTGATGGATACAACTGCATTAGCTTTCGTCCTTACCCATATATCGCTATTTCAACTTTAATGTCCAATTTTGAAGGACTGTGTAATTTCGATTTAAAGCTTTCGTGACTGCAATGATTCATCTTCTTTGGTTCTTTCGGTAAAGTCACGTAGAATGAGAATAAAATAATACATTGATAAAATAAAATAACACAATAATATTCTCACGACGTTTCGGCCACAACACAAGCGGCCTTCATCAGGTGAAGGGACGAGACTGTCTGGCAGGACAGCGCTGGAGTGAAAGAGCTACGTTCAGATCACGGCCTTTAAGCCTCAACTTAAGCCTCAACTTAAAGGCCGTGATCTGAACGTAGCTCTTTCACTCCAGCGCTGTCCTACCAGACAGTCTCGTCCCTTCACCTGATGAAGGCCGCTTGTGTTGTGGCCGAAACGTCGTGAGAATATTATTGTGTTATTTTATCAATTTATTATTTTATTCTCATTCTACGTGACTTTACCGAAAGAACCAAAGAAGAGGACTGTGTAATGTTTTGGTGTGGTCTGAGACAGTTTTTGTTGTTGTTTGGCTGCCTTTCCCAAGTTGATAATTGGTGTACTTAAGCAATATAGAACTACTTTATCTATTTTACGTATGTATTTGAGTGATTTGGTTACCTTTTCTACACTTTGCACTCCTCTATCGTTTATGGTATTTTTTGTATTATTTTAACACTCTGACCCGCCCCTACGGGACATCTGTGAAAAAGAGCTTCATAGCTCATCGGATTTATCCAGGATAAATAAAGATTGTGACTCTGCTTCAGAGGGCAAGAATGATAATGATTCACTATTTGTGCCGGTTGCACCGTGTTGATGCACCACATTGCCATTCGGAAACTTGTGCTGCACTGTTGCTGCTGGCTTTGCTTTGTTCACGTTTTGTGAAGTAACCAGGCTTATAATGTGTAACCGGGTCCCCATCGAAAATGTGCATTCATTGCACAAAGTGTTTTACCTGTGCGCAAATAAACCAAATTGACATGGCCATTGCAGTTGAGAGAATTTCACACGTTAATTTAAAACGTGCTTTATCAGGTTTTCTCCTTCATGTGGCGCGCCTTGTCAAACATTACCAAGTACTCGGTTTTGACAAATGGAAGTTGATCAACTTATGTAACAGCATTATATAAAATTTGGATTTATGTCAGTCTTAGCAGCTCCCACAGCGATTACTATCACTTTTTTTTTCCTCTGGAGACCACAAGGCTGCTCCACCCTCCACCAGCACCGAACCTTGTGAGAAAAAATGTTTGGGATTCAGTGTATATAAATTTATTTATTTTAAACGTTAAAAAAAATTATGTCTAAGTAATTATAGTTATATGCTTCTACTTTGCAAAAATTTCATGAATATTAACTGGTTCCCACCTAGCTTAAGGCAATTATAATTATTATTAGCCATTCGCTTCGATACGGAAAATATATTTTGAACCTGGTGGCAAGCTGATCTTCATATTCTTGGTTCTTTCGGTAAAGTCACGTAGAAGGGAAACAATAAAATACCGAAAGAACCAAGAATATGAATCCCTGCAGTCACGAAAGCTTTAAATCAAAATTGAAGCTGATCTTCAGTTTAAAGTGCTAAGCAATGCCAATGAGGACAGACTTATTTGGCCTATAGCAGAGGACTCTATCTCAGGATTACCATAAACGATTCTCGCCTCCAACTACAGCAATTGGCCAGCCATAAAGACCTTGTTTTGCTTGAAGAGGTGGGCGATGCCTCCTGTGAGAGCTTTGACTGCACCGCTCTTCTGTTCCATCATCTTCTCCAGGTTCAGCTTCAGTCCCTGAACTGCAGACACAAATCAGTGACGCTCACCGCCAACGCCCCAAGGGAGAGTGTATCTTTACACACACAACGCATTTCAAACAATTACCTGTGCGTTTACAATACAATGAAGCGACACGTTGACATCTGGCGAGCAAAAGACGGAAATTCAACTAACAGTAAGTGCAGGTAAAGGTGTGTTGTACGAATGGCAGTTGTTGTTTTATTCTTGGTGAGACTCACTTTCAATGCCTCTGCTGGCAAAGTCCTTGCCATGAGCCAAGTGGTAGAAATACGAGTTATTCAGCAGTGCCTGGAATTACACAAATAGAGTAAAACCTTTGGAATGAACACATAGCTTTTTGTCAAATGGATTTTAGCTTTGTTACATTTGATGTATTAAGATATTCTGATGGAATCCAAATGACTTGATGTAACCCAGGTTGGGCCTTACAAAAGAGGTAATGTAATGTACATCTGAACATACCTAGATTTCATCTGCTGGTTATATAACGGATACTATTATATGGACCTGCTGCAAAACCAATCATATGCTAATACAGCATTAGTTCCTCTCTGACCAACCATGCACAACAATGAATAGATGTCCCGATTGTGCATTACTGAATACAGCTAAATATCAATAATCACGGACAAAGTATACTCAAGTTATCAATATTTGAAGCTAAATTGTCCTTTGAGTTGGAATTAATGAGTGTGTACGAACAAGATGGCAGAGACAGAACAAATTAGACATTACGAACAAGATCATCAGAATTGGTGAGATAGAGACGTAACATCAGACAGTATACACAAGCTACAGAGTACAGATGATACGGAACAAACCAAACAGTACTCCGACTACACAATCCGCAAAGCCATCACTCCAGTCATGAAGAAGGATCCTCTTGTGGAGCCACTCAAAACCATCACCTTACCCTACATTGCAGGGGTCACTAAAAAGATCTCCAAAATCCTGAATAAACACAAGATCCAGGTCCGATTCAACATAGTACATAAAATCCGTGATCTAGTTCCATCTGTAAAAGATGCTGTTCCAGACATACAGTACCCGGGTGTTTACAAAGTAAAGTTCCTCTGTGGTAGTAGCTACATTGGAGAAACCAAACGACATATCTCGGACCGCATCCGCGAACATAAAGCAGACTTGAAACACGGTAGAACGAACTCCTCTGCCGTGGCAGATCACTGCTATAATTCAGTGGGCTCACATGACATTGACTTCTCCAAGACGGAGGTTCTTTGCAAACCAACCGGCTACCATGAGAGATTCGTTCATGAGGCCATTCACATATACAAGCACAGAGACAATTTCAACCGAGAAGATGGATTCTGGCTTAGTAACCATTGGAAAGATGTTTTAAACCATTTCCATTCTTAATTAATTGTATTTTACGATGACCTTCAGACCGCAGCTCTTTCGCTGGCATTGACTCTTAATACCTCTCACACCACGGTTAATGGTATGGTTTACAACATGGAGTATAACAGCGCCTCGCAGCTGTCTCTCTCCCCCTCCTCTGTTCCGACCATGGATGAACTCGTCCGTCTGAACGGGACCCGTAGCTATCCGTGTTGCTAAAGTTGAGGGTAAGAATCCACCCATTTTTTCGCCATATAGCATTGTGATATATAACGACTTATTGTTGGTAGCTTAGCTGATTGGAGAATATAGAGTTTATTGATAACATTGAGGTAATTTATATTTTAGTTTTATTGGTTCACTATATAGTATTCTTTATATTGTATTGTATACCCAGTTACTGTGAATAGCTCAGATGTGTAGGCCTTGACTTCAACATAGCCATTTCTGTGACCAGTCACTAGCTCATCACTCAGTAATTTCAATGCTAAATTCGCCTAGTTATTTCAATGCTAAATTCTCCTGTTTGATTTGTACTAGGTGCCTCGGTGAATGTATATGCTCTGAATTTAACATAGCTATATCTGTGACCAGTCACAAGCTAATCACTCAGCCATTTCAATGTTAAATTCTATGCTAATTCCTTTGTCAAGGCGCTTTGTTTCTTCTCACACAGCTTAAAGGTCGTGATCTGAGCGTGGCTTTTTCACTCCAGCGCTGTCCTCCAGACAGTCTCGTCCCCTTCACCTGATGAAGGCCGCTTGTGTTGTGGCCGAAATGTCGTGAGAATATTATTGTGTTATTTTATTTTATCAATTTATTATTTTATTCTCATTCTATGTGACTTTACCGAAAGAACCAAAGAAGAAGTACACATGAGACAAAGGAAAAACAAGACAATGGTACAAATGAAACAGCACAAATGAGACATGATATTAGACAGAGACTACATATAAGATTGACAGTACAGAATAAACCAACAAGACGGTACAACAGGACACAATGTTCTTGAATTAAACTGTGGTATTTTAGCGACTTGGTTGCAGTGAATTTTCACATGCCAAGTGTCCAGTGTGAGCACTGTGTAGCAACGCCCTCTAGAGGACACACATCTCGCTTACAAGGACCACCAATTTGCACATCCCTACAAAGCACACAAACAAAACACGACCACCTTCTAAATCAGCGCCACTCACTCCAGTCCTCATGAGCCACACTGGGAGAGCTTCCTGTGATTACCAGCCGTCCGGGTGCTGCATGCACTGTGCTGTGGCTTAATTTGCATATGAACATCAAAGATTTTGTAATCACGAAAAGGCGGATTGTAGGTGATGGGGGGGGGGGGTCAGTGAATTAATAAAAACGCAAAATGTTTCAAACCTTGGAAGGTATGCATCCCACATTGAGGCAGGTTCCACCCAACGTTTCATTCTTTTCAACGCAGATGACCTGGAAACGCCACACACACACACAGACACGTGAGTACTCGCACAATGCAAACTATTTTCATCTTGACAATGCCAGGCAACAAAAAAATTGAATGTATTTCTCACCGTTGGAAATTTTAGTACATTCAACATGACATTGAACACGTTTATATGACACGATGATTGATGTGTGTTAATGGCATAATATAAACGTTACTGAATTACATGATGACAAAGTTAACACTTAAAGGGATAAAACAAATCGTATCAACTTTACCAACATCAAATTTTATCACTACCTTGAAGCCAAGCTGTGCAGCCTTGATAGCAGCCACATACCCTCCAGGCCCAGATCCAATGACAGTCACATCTGCATCCACTGAACATAAAGTAGGAGTGTTTAAAGTTGATGTTGCATTTGCAATGTTCCTGTAATATGCCACTGCAAAAAATAATAATGCTGACAAAAATCCTGAAAGGACCCAAGAGGTCGTATCACACCAGTCAGCCCTGAGCTCCGGCTCCCCAATCCAATCACAAATCAAATAGAGGATGGCCTTCCCCGTCTTCCGCATCCTCCACGGACACGCCCCTTGCTGCTACCTCTCTCCCCCCTTTCATCTCACTCTGTTAACCTTCGAGTGCCCACTGCTCCAAGGCCGACTGTCAAACACCCAGTCGGCGTCCGCTCACTGTCAGGTCGTGCCTTCTCCATTGCTGGCCCTGTTGTCTGGAAATCCCTTCCTCTGGCTGTCTGCATGTCTGAACTTCATCCCCCTGGCCAAGTCCAGGTGGCTTAAGACATTTTATCTCTCTGCCCACGACTGACCATTTCCATGTATCCAAAACGCTTAATACAGGTCTATTACCTCTACACTATCATACCTCTCAACTCCCCCTTTTCATCTCTCCTGTTCTCCATGATGCTGCACTGTCCTCTGCTGCTCACCACAAGGCCTCTAGGTTAATTTTGAGGACATGCAAGTGACACCGGGTTACATGGCAAATGCATGTACTGACAGATAACTTTTAATCTTTCCCTGTCTGAAAAATACTTTTTTTTCCGCACGAGTATTAGCAAATATCCACATATAATGGAAATGTGCGTTCACAAGAACCAGTTGCTTCAACCCGTTACCGCATGTACCTATAGTTTACTTAAAGTGACATTCTATGAAACAGGTTCTGATAACAGCACTGTAATTTACCTTGAGCTCTAAATCCAAGTAAATTTTAAGTATGCTTATTCAGCGATACACTGTAAACACATATATAATTATTTATGAAGCATCACATAAAGGTTTTAAAACAGCAAGGAAGCCTGCACTATGCATGCACAATGGAATGCATTCCAACCAAAACTGGTTCCAGGAGGGCTTCATATTTAAGTTAAAACTGGTTTGAAGTGCTAACCTGCAAAACGGGTTTAGTTGACAGCACAGTCAGCTACAGTATATTTGTATAACATGCAGCTTTTGTGTAGATATATCTGCATGATCAGAAAACTAATGCTTAACGTTCCATTTGAATGCTTTTGAAATAAAACATTTAGGAAACGAGTTTCAAAGTACGAATTGCCCTATGACTTAACGATTTGACTTGTTGACCTGAGTGCAGCTTAACAGCTCGACCAATTTCAATAGCCCAATTTGGTATGCAGCCTCATTTCAAAATCACAACTAAAAAAGCGTGAGCCATTGGGGAGGAGTGTGTGCAACAGCAGAGGGGGCTATTGAATGTTAACGGGCTTCCCAATATATTGCATACATTGGTGAGCGGTGCGGGTCAAGTGACTTTATAACTGGTGAGTAATAGCAGGTGAATGTCTAGCGAGGGTGAGGTGTGATGTGTCATGTGACCACATGTATCATGTGTGATGTGTCATGTGACCACATGTATCATGTGTGATGTGTCATGTCACTCCATCCACAGGACGGGCTAGCCTCTAGTATGACAATATACATAGGTAAAAAACAAGCTTTTTAATGCATGCACTGCACTCAAAAGTAGAACATTTATTCTTGCTTGTTTATTACCGAATAGTTGTTGTGTACTTGTTGTGTGTACGTGTGTGCACTAGTCGTGCGTGCACTACTAGTGCGCACACTAGTCGTGAGCGCACTAGTTGTGTATTTGTTGCTCTCGCGCTAAGGATGAAGAGGGCAGCACAGCGGCCGCTCCGGCACCATGACGAGCGGCGATAGAAGCGCGCCTCTCATTGGTCATAGGCTAGCCAGCAACAGCCGCTGTGATTGGAACAGACGGTTTGCCGCCGTAGGTGGGCGAGACATTTCGCGATTTCAAAAAGAGGGGGGTGGAATGTACGATTATTAATTAGCAACATTTAAAAACACGATTATTAATTAGTATAATTTAGTTAAAAACACGAATAGGACTAAGATGGGCGCGACCCTGACCGTTTCAAAAAAAAAATATTGAATTGTCACACGGGGCTAGTCTGTGTTGAAACTTTCAGCTAGTTAGCCTTCGTAGATCCGAAGATATTAAGCGTCAAAGATTCCAAAGAATATAAACAGACAACACGGCAAGTTCAATGAAAGTGTGTAAAAAAAGTGTGTAATAATAAGCACTTACATGGAGCTTTATCCGAGTAGGTCCGTAGCACAACGGCATTAACTGCATGAGCATTGCCGGGTACCCTAAACAGATGGCTACCCTGTAAAACACACGAACAATAATAATAATACTATTTGGATCATACACATAGCATCCCATACAGAATAAAGCGTCTGAATAAAAAGGAAATTTATTGAACATTTTGTTGGCATTGTCTGTTGATGTATTTAAGTTTAACACGTAGGCTCTCGCAACCAATATCATCCATAATGCAGGGTTTTTTAAATTAGATTGTGTAAATTAAAATGTGTCGTTAAACCCGCCACCACCCCACACAGACAATTAGTAAGGTTTGTCACGGAAACAGAACATGCCAATTCGTTACTAGTACAGCACACCGGTGTTTTGTAGAGCAAATCCACAACATTTACAATCTGAGTATGACGTTTCGCCAGTAATTACAACTAGCATCAAAGGCGTCATAATTACAACTAGCATAATCTATTCAAGTGTTAAATACACACTGCAATGTGTTCGCAGTTAAATGCACACAAATCTACAGCGTCCGCATGCGTTTCATTCTGTATGTCATTAATGACGTTTACAGAATGCAAACGGTGTCATGGTATTCTAATCAACCACAAGGTCCAACGGGCTGGTGAAGTGGCTGAACAGGCAGTCTGCAAGCTACACGTTTGAGTGTTAACAAAGACAGAAAGCGAGCTACATTAAGTCAACTGGCTGGTCGCTTGTGGTGGGGGTAGAGAGGGAATATAAAAATGATAAGAGCCTCTCACAAATAGCGTGCAAGAGTAGAGATTCAATGCATTTGAGACTTTCACAACACATCACCATTCTCGAAACACGTGTCCACACTTTTTTTCATGTAAACGTTACCAAGGAGACTCACCGAGCTTCAAGACAGATTTCAACAGGGAACCCCTGCTTAAAATGCGTTGCAAATTCCTGTTTTGCATTGTACACTATTTAGTTTATTCGTGCTTATTTTTGTTCCCCGCATTGCATGTATCTGTGGTGCGTAGAGACACACTTTATTTATGTTTGACACTATTCAAAGTGTAGTCCAAGTAATGCGCGTAATCTACTGGTCACGGCGCTCGACTCAAAATTTAAAGGCTGTGAACTTGGTTCACTTTGACCCATCATCCGTCCGGGGTCGATAACGTGAGTACCACTTTTCCGACTCTTCCCTAAGAACAGTCTTGCCACCCAACATTGCAATGTGCAATTTACACCGCTGCCTCAAGGCTGTAAAACGACTTTAGCGCCGCCTCACGGTCGTTGCAGCTCAAAACAACGTACGACTTTGAAGCTATTATAATTTAGCCAGGGAGGGGTGACGGCGGACGCCTGCAATGCAGCACTTTGGAGGCAAAGGTGGATGATGTATCAGAAATGGATCGGAGAGTTTTGCAAAACTCCCAAAACCACTAGACTACGAGGTGGCCTGATGGCAATACTCGAGGTGGCCTGATGGCAATACTGTATAGCAAGTGAGCTGGGGAACAACTCCTGATCCACCACTGGTGAACGATCAGAGAGACCCAACAACTCGCTTGACTCAAAAACACACACGTCTAACCCAAAGCGCTCGAGCATTAACATGGACAGAGCTAAATGGAAGGCCACAATCGTCGGCGTCTTTGAGAAAGGGCGTGGTACATCGCACATTGGAATCTAAGGATGAAATGCGCCTTAGAAATATTAATGAATATTCGAGATGCGCACAACCTAATGACCAAGATCTTGTCCGACCTTGCCAGTGCTTGGTATTTGGATGGGCAGGGACTGCCCGGGGCTGCGCGGTGGACAGATTACATCACTGGATTCCGGAATCTGTTCTGAGCTCAGACGCAATCCCAGCCTGTGTGTGTGGGGGGTTTTATTTCGATTCTCCAATTTCCTCCCGCAAGATACCGAACACTCATCAAATGTAAATGACCAAGCACACTAACGTAGCAGGGACCCTCCTGCAAAATATATTTTGCATTCGATGGCGCTTTACATGGTAAATAAAGTGCTATTCTAAGTGAATTGACAAATGCCAACAGCCCCATTAGTGACACACTGGTGAATACACCACATTAACATCAACATAATTATCCATACAGGTTTTTTTGGGTTAGATCACGTAAAAATATAAATGTTTCGCTAAACCCGCCACCACCCGACACAGCCAATTAGTAAGGTTTGTCACGTAAACAGAACATGCCAATTCGTTACGAATACAGCACACAGGCGTGCTGGAGAGCCAAGCCACAACATTTACAATCCGAGTACGACGTTTCGCCAGTAATCAAAACTTGCTTCATCAGGCTCTCTCGTCACTGGTCACCAACTGGGCGATGGCATTTACCAACTCTCGTCACTGGTCATCAACTTAGCGATGGCATTTACCAACTCTCATCACTGGTCATCAACTTAGCGATGCATTCACCAACTCTCATCACTGGTCAACTTAGCGATGACATTTACCAACTCTCATCACTGGTCAACTTAGGGATGGCATTCACCAACTCTCATCACTGGTCATCAACTGGGCGATGGCATTCACCAACTCTCATCACTGGTCAACTTAGCGATGACATTTACCAACTCTCATCACTGGTCATCAACTGGGCGATGGCATTCACCAACTCTCATCACTGGTCAACTTAGCGATGCATTCACCAACTCTCATCACTGGTCATCAACTTAGCGATGGCATGCACCAACTCTCATCACTGGTCATCAACTTAGCGATGGCATTCACCAACTCTCATCACTGGTCATCAACTTAGCGATGCATTCACCAACTCTCATCACTGGTCATCAACTTAGCGATGGCATGCACCAACTCTCATCGCTGGTCATCAACTTAGCGATGGCATGCACCAACTCTCATCACTGGTCAACAACTTAGCGATGGCATTCACCAACTCTCATCACTGGTCATCAACTTAGCGATGACATTTACCAACTCTCATCACTGGTCATCAACTGGGCGATGGCATTAAACCAACTCTCATCACTGGTCATCATCTTAGCGATGCATGCACCAACTCTCATCACTGGTCAACTTAGCGATGGCATTCACCAACTCTCATCACTGGTCACCAACTTAGCGATGGCATTCACCAACTCTCATCACTGGTCATCAACTTAGCGATGGCATTCACCAACTCTCATCACTGGTCACCAACTTAGCGATGGCATTCACCAACTCTCATCACTGGTCATCAACTTAGCGATGGTATTCACAACTCTCATCACTGGTCAACTTAGCGATGCATTCACCAACTCTCATCACTGGTCAACTTAGCGATGGCATTCACCAACTCTCATCACTGGTCACCAACTTAGCGATGGCATTCACCAACTCTCATCACTGGTCAACTTAGCGATGGCATTCACCAACTCTCATCACTGGTCAACTTAGCGATGGCATTCACCAACTCTCATCACTGGTCATCAACTTAGCGATGCATTCACCAACTCTCATCACTGGTCATCAACTTAGCGATGGCATTCACCAACTCTCATCACTGGTCACTAACTTAGCGATGGCATTCACCAACTCTCATCACTGGTCATCAACTTAGCGATGCATTCACCAACTCTCATCACTGGTCATCAACTGGGCGATGGCATTCACCAACTCTCATCACTGGTCATCAACTTAGCGATGGCATTAACCAACTCTCATCACTGGTCATCAACTTAGCGATGGTATTCACCAACTCTCATCACTGGTCAACTTAGCGATGCATTCACCAACTCTCATCACTGGTCAACTTAGCGATGGCATTCACCAACTCTCGTCACTGGTCAACTTAGCGATGGTATTCACCAACTCTCATCACTGGTCATCAACTTAGCGATGCATTCACCAACTCTCATCACTGGTCATCAACTTAGCGATGCATTCACCAACTCTCATCACTGGTCAACTTAGCGATGGCATTCACCAACTCTCATCACTGGTCACCAACTGGACGATGGCATTCACCAACTCTCATCACTGGTCAACGTAGCGATGGCATTCACCAACTCTCATCACTGGTCAACGTAGCGATGGCATTTACCAACTCTCGTCATTGGTCAACGTAGCGATGCATTCACCAACTCTCATCACTGGTCACCAACTGGACGATGGCATTCACCAACTCTCATCACTGGTCAACGTAGCGATGGCATTCACCAACTCTCATCACTGGTCAACGTAGCGATGGCATTTACCAACTCTCGTCATTGGTCAACGTAGCGATGCATTCACCAACTCTCATCACTGGTCACCAACTGGACGATGGCATTCACCAACTCTCATCACTGGTCAACTTAGCGATGGCATTCACCAACTCTCGTCATTGGTCATCAATGGCGCCCTACAGAGCCAAAGGAGGCCTCGCCTAGGCGCTCTAGGGCACAGCCTTGAGCGGCTTCAGGCGGCGGTCGCTCAGGCACACGGGGCCCGGGGTAGTGCAGGGCCCGAGCGGGTGGCGAGGTATCGCAGCTCCCACCCCCCCACCCCCTCCAACACTCACGCGTGACACGCACCTGTGCGAGGCGAGGGGCGAGCTGGCGACACAAACCCTGCATGATGTCCGACCTTCCCGCTCGCTCAACCCCGGCGTGACCCAGGAAGTAGAAACCCGAGGCACTTCCGGGGGTCACGCGGCACGACGCGGGGGTGTGGTTGTGGTGGCTCTTCCGGTATCGGTGGTTCGTCTACCGGTATGACGTGAACACGCGGTAGACGTCTTCTAGAAGGAGTGGTATGACGTGAACACGCGGTAGACGTCTTCTGGAAGGAGGGGTCTGACGTGAACACGCGGTAGACGTCTTCTGGAAGGAGGTGTATGACGTGAACACGCGGTAGACGTCTTCTGGAAGGAGGGGTATGACGTCAACACGCGGTAGACGTCTTTTGGAAGTAGGGGTATGACGTCAACATGCGGGTAGACGTCTTCTGGAAGGAGAGGTATGACGTGACACAAGGTAGACGTCTTCTGGAAGAAGGGGTATGACGTGAACACGCGGTAGACGTCTTCTGGAAGGAGAGGTATGACGTCAACACGCGGTAGACGTCTTCTGGAAGGAGGGGTATGACGTGAACACGCGGTAGACGTCTTCTGGAAGGAGAGGTATGACGTGAACACGCGGTAGAAGTCTTCTGGAAGAAGTGGTATGACGTCAACACGCGGTAGACGTCTTTTGGAAGTAGGGGTATGACGTCAACATGCGGGTAGACGTCTTCTGGAAGGAGAGGTATGACGTGAACACAAGGTAGACGTCTTCTGGAAGGAGGGGTATGACGTGAACACGCGGTAGACGTCTTCTGGAAGGAGAGGTATGACGTCAACACGCGGTAGACGTCTTCTGGAAGGAGTGGTATGACGTGGAACACGTGGTAGACGTCTTCTGGAAGGAGTGGTATGACGTGAACACGCGGTAGACGGCTTCTGGAAGGAGTGGTATGACGTGAACACGTGGTAGACGTCTTCTGGAAGGAGTGGTATGACGTGAACACGCGGTAGACGTCTTCTGGAAGGAGTGGTATGACGTAAACACGTGGTAGACGTCTTCTGGAAGGAGTGGTATGACGTTAACACCTGATGACGACCGTTTGTGTTATGGTCGAAACGTCGTGAGAATTTTTATTGTTTTATATATTTTATTATTTTACTGTTTCCCTTCAACGTGACTTTACCGAAAGAGCTAAGAATATGAATTACTGCAGTCACGAAAGCTTCAAATCAAAATTTAAATCAATTTGAGAGGGGGGGGGGTGTTCAGTATTGGGGAGATAAGATGGGCGAGACGGCTTCTGGAAGATTTCTCTTTGGTTAAATTTCGTTTTAAAGCTTTCGTGACTGCAGGGATTCATATTCTTGCTTCTTTCGGTAAAGTCACCACCACGTAGAAGGGAAGTAATAAAATGAAGAAAAAAAAACCCAATGCAATTCTCACGACGTTTCGATTGCAAAACATAAAGCAATCATCATCAGGTGTGAAAACTGCAATCGAAACGTCGTGAGAATTTTATTGTTTTAATTTTAGTATCGTATTATTTCCCTTCTACGTGACTTTACCAAAAGAACCAAACGGTCATTCCTGCAGTCACGAAAGCTCCAAATCAAAGTTTCTGGAAGATTGTCGTCTGCAAGATTTGTACCAGTAGCGGCGGGTCAGAACGTTACAACAATACAACAACAACAAAAACCACAACCACGATCGGAGTGCAAAGTATGGGGACAAGTTAAAATAAATTACTCAAAAACTATTATTTATTCCATTGGGGTGTTATTGTGTCGTCATTGGGTGACCGGGCTGAGACCATCAACTCACTACATTATAAACCAGGGGGTGGGCACATTTTTTGACTCGCGGGCCACAATGGGTTTCTAAAATTTGACAAGAGGAGCCGGTGCCAGGAACAGATGGATGGAGTGGTGCTGTTTCAGAGTCTTGTGACAGGGGACAGGACACCAGCTGAAGTGACTGTTCAATGTTTTCGAAATCAGAGAACCTACGGCAGAATTCTCCGTGCAGGTCCTCAAGTGATTTGCTTTATTATTTTTTTTGCGTTTCGCGGTGCCTCTTCCTGCATGGCAAGTGTGGGGGAAATGAGCGAAAGGTTTGTTCGCAATTTGTCTGGAGAACAAAGTGAGCTTGGATTTGAAGGCTTTCACATGTTTGTACATGTCGTGAACAAACTGATCTTTCCCCTGCAGTTTCACATTCAGCTCTTTCATGTGTGAAAATATGTCCACAGAAAAACGCAAAGTCACTAAGCCAGTTCTTGTCGCTTAGCTCAGGGAATTCGTCAGATTTCCCCATCAACTCCAAAAATGTGATGATGTCCTCCTTCAGCTCCCACACTCGTTGTAACACTTTCCCCAAACTTAACCAGCAGACACGAGAGTGGTACAGCAAATCCTGATGATCTGCATCAGTTTCCTCCAGGAACGTAATAAACTGATGGTGATGAAGTCCCCTTGCTCGTATAAAGTTAACAAGTTTTACGGCTGGATTCACGACATGATTAAGCTGCAATACAGACTTACACAGGGATTCCTGATGGATGATGCAGTGAAGGAAAATAAGATCCTGGTCAGGGTTTTCCTCTTTCACTTTATTCTGGATTCTTTTCAGCAGCCCAACATTTTTTCCAGTTAAACTTGGCGATCCATCCGTTCGTTGTGACATTGACAAGTTTACTCCAAGGTAGCTTCATTCTTTCGATGACAGCAGACACCTGGTTATACAAGCCCTCTCCCCGCGTTGTTCCTTTCAGGGACTCCATGGTCAAAAACTCCTCTGTTATCGCAAAACTGTCGTCAATGCCTCGGATAAATATGAGGCGCTGAGCAGTGTCTTTTACGCCCGTACTTTCATCCAGTGCTAGTGAATGTAACTCAAAGGAATCAGACTTTTTGTTTAATTGGCTGGCTATATTTTCATCAATCAGTTCCACACGGCGAGTCACAGTCCTGCGTGATAAACTGACTTTTTCAAATTTGCTTTTGATCTTCGGACACAAGATGTCTGCTGTCTGTACCATGCATTATTTTACAAACTCACCTTCGGAGAAAGGCTTGCTCGCCTTTGCTATTTCGAATGCCACCAAAAAACTTGCCTTGGTAGTTGACTCTTGAATCGCAGTTTGTCGGTGAAAAAAATGTTGCTGAGTCTGTAAATTAGCCGCCAACCTCTGAGCCGTAGCCGTCTGTTCTTGCGTTGACTGCTTGCTAGCGTAGTTAGCATGCTTCGTAGCAAAGTGACGGCTGATGTTGTACTCCTTGAAAACTGCAACAGTTTCTCGGCATATCAGGCATACAGTCTTCGATTGGACTTCAGTGAAAAAGTATTTTGTCCACTCCGTGTTAAACACTCGGCACTCATTGTCCACTTTTCGTTTCCTTGATCCGCTCATTTTACAGAAGGGCTCACAGGGCAAAGCGAAAACGTGAAGGGAGCGCCGTATCTAACTCAGCAATGTAAACAAACCCTGAAAATGGTGCTGACGGCCCACAATGCATTGGGAGATCATGTGCCCTTTCGAACCCTATACACCACACTCCCGGTCAAAGTGCGCCATCTAATGGGGAAATGGGGGCATTACAGGAGAAAGGTAAAATTTCATTTAATAATAATATTTGGGCAAGTTCGGCGGGCCGGATTAAAAAGCCCAACGGGCCGTATACGGTCCGGGGGGGCGTACTTTGTCCATGTCTGCTATAAACAATTCAAACTTAATTATAAACTACTTTTTTATCTTACCAGTTCAGGCCCACTGAGCTATAAGCTAATTTTTCAGAAGCTATCCTGGCCATAAATAATCTCGGTAGATGCCTTCTGGAAGTTGCGCAGGTTCAGTAGCTCACCCATCTTCCAGAGGACAGCTACCGAAATCAGCTACTCAACCCGCACCCTTCCAGGTTCAGTAGATGACATCGGTAGATGTCTTCAGGAAGATGAGTGTGCGTTCAGCATTAGACTCCGGTAGACATTGCGTCAATCAAAATCTTAATTTCGACTGCAAGAGGAATCCGATGAGCTGTGAAACTATTTACTCACATGTCCAGTATGAGCGGGTGAGCAAGTCACAACAAAAAACAATAGAGTACAAAAAAAAACGATAGTGCTAACATCCATAAAATCTCTTGCACGACAAATCTATTTCACCCGAACACGCGTGCACAAATGCATACACAAAAAAAATTATAATAGGAGTCATTATTTCGCTTGTTTAAGCTGGCAAGGCTCACCAAGTCTCACAGCTCTTTTTCACGACGGTCCCTGTAACATTTTGTCAGTAGGGGGCGATGATTGCTATATACGGTACACAGTACGTACTGGTAACCAATGGAGTCATTTGCAGGTTGAAATGTTTTTCTTTTTGGCAAATTTGGGCCATGACACCAGCAGACGGCGCGTATATTTATGATTGATATACCCGCAGTATTAATTATGGCGGCCGTTGGATTTGAGCCGTGTGCCTCTGCAATGGTTGGTAATGTCATAAGCCATGGACTATCCACTGCTGATTGAAGATCTAACCACAACAGCACCATCGTTCACGGCCAAGTGATGCCACTATCCCTCTCACTGCTGATTGAAGATCTTCTCACACTATCACAATCCCTCACGGCCAAGTGATGCCACTATCCCTATCACTGCTGATTAAAGATCTTCTCACACTATCACAATCCCTCACGGCCCTGTGATCCCAATATCCCTCTCACTGCTGCACGTGAGCTCATCTCATCTCCACGGTGGTCATCCTCTCAAGCAACATTATCTCGTTCTGATGTACCGACAAATACAAGTTTCAATGACAAATCTAAATATTACTGAGGGAGTAAAAGATTGCGCTGATTGAAGCCAGCGAACTGAGTTGGTTTCTTGGCTGAAGTTCACATCAGTGGCAAGTGATATCTGAACCGATGCTTAGCACCGACCTTCCTCAACCTGCAATGGGCAGAATAGTGAAGTATTGTCAAACAACCCCCATGATTGGCAGTGTGGGAAAGCCTTTATCAGGAGTAGATTCACAGATCTATTTTTAATTACGTAAAGACATAATTTTACGCGTAAAAATAAGTTGGTAACAGAAGGGGGTTAAACCTCTGCTGAGATGTACCATATACAGTTTTCTGAATTGGAAAAAAATGT